GTGTTTCGTGTTTTGCAAACCATGAGGTTAGAGTGCACACACACCGTCCTCTTCGAGGAAAAGTTCGATTGACGTTTTGTGGTAACGTCAGTCTGGTGGGGGAGGGTGTAACGGGGTTACACGTCGGCTGGTAGCCGACGATAGGTGTGGTGCACACACGAGAGGGGGGGGGGGTACCCTATAAAGTAATTTTAGAACACAGTGAGCGTATCAATTGTTGAAGACTGGTGTCTGTCATCAATTGATTGCAAGATCTTTTAAGAGGTTATTTAGGGCAGGTTAAATACGTTGTTCTAAGGTGTTCTTTTAGGTTAAATGAAGAAATAAAATTCAGTTCCCATTTTGATCAACAAAAGACACGTGCCTCTCTGAGGCGTCTTGCGATCGTAAGGAAGTAGCAACGCCTTGTTAAGGCAGCTACTCCTTTTGCACTTAGTGCGTTCGATTCTTTGAATCGTTTGGTCCCCCTGGAACAGGGACCGTAAGCTCTTTGAGCTGTTGACTCTCTGAGTCGGGTTCTCTGAACCACCTTTAAGCTCTCTGAGCTGTTGACTCTCTGAGTCGGGTTCTTTGAACCAAAGTTGCTCATTGAGCGTAAAGTCTTCCTCTGACTTAAGGAGCTGTGTAGCTCCGCTACAATCGTTCTGAAATGTCCATTGGGAAAAGCACCGTCGACGAGTTCACAAAAGGTGTATGTACCTCTCTCTGATATCATGATTCCATCCGCGATGCAAGAAGTGGCGATCGGACCTGTTCTGAAGTTGCACGGCGACGCGCCGGGGCGAGCAACTGTCGTTCATGGTGCAACGAATGCTCCGACAAATGTAATTTATAACACGATTTGTAAAACTTACTGTTCAAATATTCATAATAATTCTGGTGAACTTTACAACCCGGTATGACAAGAACGCAGAATAAATCCTTGATGTGCAATATATTGCAAAAGTTGCCAAAGCCAGATCATCGTCGCTTGCGACAAGCACGATCGTGTCTTTTAGCACGTGGCCCTCCATTTCTTCCATCAATCGACCAAACACTGTGTCCGACAAGTAGCAAAATCAAGCGTAAGCTTACACGAGTTCTCCGCGCTCGCGGTCTTTCGTACTACGATGCAAACTCTTCCATCACGGAGCGGAAGCCTGAGTTTTTAGCCGTTCGTCAACCGGCGCGTGGCTTGGGACGTCTAATATACTGTATAACAAAGGCTCAACGACGTATGAATCAATGAATGGATCTTTACCGCCGCATCTGCTGGCGTCAAGTAGTGACTCGTTTCCAGAGGTATCGACCAGCTTCTAGCACTGCAACACGGTCTCGAAGCCATGCGAAGACAGCACGTGCCGGAGAGTCGAGTCTGTGCGAGACCCGTGGTGAAGACCGTGGCATGTCCCTTTGTGTAGAGTAGCTGCGGTATATGTGTGAGATCTATTAACACATGCGCAAAGGTTGCATTCGTTCGGTCACACCGTCACAAGGCAGGTAGCCGACTACCGGCGTGTCTGCGCTGACTACCGTGTTTCTTGCAAACGTCCCCAAATTGAGTGCTTGAGCTCGATTCTACGCTCAACGAGATCGCTTATTGACCGGCTGCTAGAATATCTCATCTCTGCCAAACATGACACCATGGTGGCCTGTCGTACAGGCTCACTCAACAATGGGTTCGGCGCCATTATGCTTCCAACGACTGGTAACATGTTGCTCGATCAGGTGATGCAGCGAAGAAAAAGCTACGGCATGGAGAGCGAGCACGACCCGAGGAGAGGGCACATGAAACGATACGCATTTTAGACACGAAAGCTTGCATCTTTTGTCATGTTCTTTGCCAAACTCGTTCGTGTTTTCTGGACCCACTGCATGCCCTTCAGGCAGGCGGGTCATTAGCTGAAGCGCCGTCAGTAACACTCAGGTGGTAACGAAAGCTGCGATACACAACTCGTTCCACAGCATCCCAGTCGAAGAAACATCCAGCTGTGGCGAGCTCGCTTGGTGCATGCGCAAAGCAAGCTCACCGCTTGCGGGCCAGTATTACGGAGGTGGCGAAGGACAACCTAACTGACACGATGAACTGCTGCCGAAATTTAGACAGCTGCATATTCTGAAGTAGATGTAGCGAGCGGCACAATGCACGACAAAGCCGCTTTGGCGGCAAATCCCAGTCACAAAGCCTCACTTGGACTTTGCTCGTACTTGGACTTGTTTAGCAAACTCACTTTTGCAAGCGGTGCTAAGTCAAGAAGGAGGAATCGGAACCGCTTTGCACCAGCCGTACCCGCTACTTTCGAGACAACGCTTCACCATCTCCCTTCCCCGCGCACGTGGACAGCTCGTTCCAGCGCCGCCTCGTTTCTATTCCACCATATCATCATCGTCATCATCATCAACCCTTCTCTTCTCATCCCGCCACGTCGTCGTTGTCCCATCACGCTGTCCTCCTGCTTTCTTCTCGCGGCGCCTTCCTTTTCCTTCGCGGCGTCGTCTTATTCCCACTTCTCGTTCACTTTGCACCCTCCCTGCCACGAGGGGGGCTCGCCTCCAGTTTATGGCCCGATAAGATGTCTACCGTCTGCGTGTCCTATAGCATTGTCACGTGGGAGGCTCGCGGAACATGGACAAGCCCATGTCTTCGCAGCACCTGCGCTTTGCGCGTGACGGGAGAGGGCCCTCAGCCGCGGCCCATACGTAGAACTCATTGCCAACTCATCACTGGATTACAGCAAAGGTACCAGTTTCAAGCGACTGATTCGCTTGGGAAGATTCGGAGTCGCACAGCCGAATGTGGCAATGTAGGAAAGAACCGCTTGTATTGTTCAACACAGCAGGCGATCGCATTGTGTGCCATTGCCCACTTCGCGGCAAGCGCTGGTGTCTGGAAGCAGCTTACGAAGCTGTCAAGACGACTCATGTAGACGCTGCCACGACTTGAAGACGACCTTGTTCGGGTAATGACAACGACTCAAAGCACTGCATGCCATGCTCGAGAAAAGACTGTGGTTGCACTGCTGTAGAAACAAGCTAGCAGCAGTCGTACGCTTGTTGGCGTCTATTGCCCACCACAAGTACGAGGGAGATGCGCTCGTATTCCATTGGCACCAATCACTTACGCCCTGACACGTCTGAGGCCTTTCGTGGCGACCTACGTGCAAGTGGTCTTCCGCCGCTCTACCATTGTTCTAGCAACGGCGCTGCGTCACTCAATGTAACCTGCCCACGTCCCGACAACGTCTTCGTCTCAGGTAACCACAATCTCTGTGAAAAGCGGCAGAGAACCCGATACTCCACTGGCTGTCGCGAATGAGATCGACCACGTCGCAACGGGATGGGCGCTTCAGAAATCCGGTGCGACCTGCCGCAAGCAATAGACACTGTAGTCCCTGCCCAGCGCTGCTCGCTTGCCTCTCGTTTGTAGGTGCGCGTCGACGCTCGGGAGCAGTGTGCACGTGTTTTGTGTGGGTGGGTGTGTGTCTTTCATGCGCTCTACTACTACTCGAGTCGCACATTGTGTGAAGCGCACGTTTTGGTGACCAGAGCACCGCCTGCTCACGCCGAATGGGGTCTCTACCGCCATTGCACCGAGTCAGCAGCAGGTTCGGCACATGCCGTCGGAAAGTTTCGTGAAACGGTAAGCAGACACCGGCCGTGACTGCTGTTCACGGGGCTCGAACCGAAGCTCACGTGGCAGAGATCCTACCCGTTTCGTGGCTCCAAAGTGGACTCGGCTGCCTGGACGCGCACCGTGTTTCTGCGCGCTGGGCGCTGCGACAAAGGGATAGACACTCGGCGTCTTGTTCACTTGTGCAGCCGCTCTGTGCCGGCAGAGACTCTCGCGAGGGCTCGGAGCTGTTCGAGAACGAACAGTGCGGCACTCGAAGCTGCTGCGCGTGCGGCAAAGCTTTCCCGACACTGACTCGCGCAGCTGTGCTGCTGGTTAGCAGACATGGGCGAGCTGATCGATATGGTCGGTGCAACCGACGCATACGCGCGTCTTTGCGTGCAAATCCAGTCCAAGGTCGCTTCGAAGTCACAGCTGACGCAATCAGGAACGAGTGCGTCATCGCGCCGACCGTCAGTGGCCATTCGTTGGCAGCGAGGCCGCCTACACAGGTGGTCAAGTGCTGACGCTGCCATGACTGACTTTGGCTGCTAAGGTAGTGCTCACGCTACGCCCATCGGCATCTCAGCATCTTCTGTAGCTCTTTTGTCGCAGGAGAGAGTCGACCATCCGTTGTCGGAGCTGACCATCATCCTTTGTACCTACGCCGAGCTGATTAGTACTCGAGTCGTGACGTGCCCGACTTCCCACTAGTCGGCGGTCGCGGATACCCACAGAGCCAACGTGGTACTGCCAAAAGTCAGCAACATCGCCATTAGATTCACTTGATTGTCCCTTGGCCGGGACGTCGCGGCGGTTTCGCGAACCCATCCCCTGCGGTGCGACTCGGATGGCTTCTTTTGCGAGTGACACCCAAAGCCCGTCGAACTCGATCCCTCGCAGCAAAAGTCGATATAGCTTCCGTGATGGGCAGCGATCCTGCTCCTTGAAGTGGGTGCAGCTGGACCTGCTTTTGTCACGGGGGCAGGTGGCCCGTGTCGCCTATGTCGGCCTTCGGCTATACCGTGTTTTGTGTCGATCCCGCGCCCGGCCGCTCGCCGCGCTACAAAGGCCAAGTCAAACCTGGGCAGACGAACCAGGCGACGCGATCGGTTTGCACAGGGGCGACATGTTTTTCTCTGGAGAGGAGTCGACCGACAGCCGACGACGACACACACCTTTGGACGCGCTCTCTGAGTTTGCACTCGTCGCTTCATAGCGCGTTTTGCACCGCCCACGACGAGAGAGCGCCTGGCCGCGACACGACGAGCGACGCAGAGACAGCCACTGCCACCGCACACAAAGTCGACTCTATCAGTCGCAGTATACTTTCTCCGACCGCGAGCGCACACCGCGTCGCTTTGCTCTGAGCTCTTTATCCCTCGGACTGTGCCGCGTAGAGTCCGCTACAATGGACGACCAGCAGACAAAGGTAGAGACCGCCTCTGTCCATCTCTCTCCCCTCTCTCTCTCTCTCTCTCTCTCTCCCCTCTGTCAATTTCTGTCTCTCTCTATCTCTATCTCTATGGCTTTTTGCGATTACTGAAGAGCTCTTTTCGTGTTTTCCCCCTTGTGGCTCGTTCGAAACTGATGACGAATTATTTGCTGAACATGTGTTGCTAGATCTATGTGCCCGACGCAGACGTGAGCTGGGTCGAGGCTGTGATCACCAAGGGCCACCTCGTGAACGAGGCCACGGTCGAGGTGATGGTCGAAGGCGACCCGACCGAGGAATGTGCCGACCAGCATCCTGAAGCCGGCGCGATCCGCCAAATCGACGTACGTTGGTTGTGTTTTGGTCGTCTGCTTGTCCATATCGTTTCGCCCCTCGTTCGTGTCGTGGTGTGAGGTACCCAGTTCTCACTTTACACCCATTTTTGTGACAATCGATTGACACGAGTACAGAAGTCGACCATGTTGTTGCAAAACACGCTTGCATCCGAGGACGGATGTCCTGACATGGTGAGTCTCAACTACCTCCACGAGCCAGCGATTCTGTTCAACCTCAAGCACCGGTTCTTCAGACGGATCCCTTATACCTACACTGGTGCTATTTGCATTGCTGTGAATCCCGTACGTTTGTTCATCTTGTCGTTGTGTGGTGTTGAGCGTGTGATACTTAGTAACTCGTCATGTCTTAACAACGCGATATGTATGTATCCATCCATTCGCCTTTTGCAACTGCTCTGTTTGCTGCAGTACTCATGGCTCAATATCTATACAAAGGAGCTCCAGGAACAATACCTGGAACGTGACCGCAGTGACCTTCCGCCTCATGTGTATGCCACGAGTGCAGGCGCGTTCCAGCACATGCGTCTGTTCGGCGAAAATCAGAGCATTTTGGTAAGTGGCGAGTCGGGCGCTGGTAAGACCGAAACGACCAAGATACTGATGTCCCACTTGGCGTCGGCCGGCAGCCACTCGACATCGGACGCTCAGGTCAAAGAGGCCGACATTATCGAGCGTGTGCTGGACGCGAATCCGCTCATGGAATCGTTTGGTAATGCGAAGACGTCGCGGAACGACAACTCGAGTCGATTTGGTAAGTTCTCCGAGCTGCAGTTTGACACACTGGGACAGCTCATTGGTGCTCGCTCCCGTACGTATCTGCTGGAAAAGTCGCGTGTGTCGCTGCAAGGACTGGGCGAGCGCAACTACCACATTTTCTACCAGCTACTGGCTGCCCCGGAAGACGTGACGACGGAAGTGAAGGTCACGGGCATGCAGGCCAAGGACTTTCCGTTTATTCGGCCGCACGAAGAAGACTTGGCCGCTGGAACTGACGTCAGTATTGGTTTGAAAGACGCCGAGCGATTCCAGCAGACAGTGTCGTGTCTGGAGACCATGGGGGTGTCGAAGGAGGACCAGATGAGCATTTATAAGGTCGTCGCGGCCATTCTGCACCTATCGCGATTGCAGTTCGAGCCGACTCCTGGCAACGACGATGCATCACAGTTGACGGGCACGCCCGCGAACCAGCAAGCCAGCCAGCTGGTATCGCATTTGCTGGAGCTTGACGACGATCAGTTGCACACTGCCCTGTGCACGCGCGAGATGACGGCGGTCATGGAAACGTACGAGGTGCCACTGAATGTCTCGCAAGCCGAAGGCGCGCGCACAGCACTTGGCGTTGCTCTGTACTCGCACATGTTTTCGTGGCTGATCCATCGCGTGAACATATCGACGAGCGCTCCACACGCGGACGTGGCGCACAAGATTTGCATCCTCGATATCTTTGGCTTTGAGATCTTCGAGAAGAACTCGTTCGAGCAGTTGTGCATCAATTACGCGAACGAAAAGCTCCAGCAGAAGTTTACGCAAGACGTGTTCAAGTCCATTCAGCAAGAGTACGAGGAGGAGGGCATTCCCTGGACACGCATTGAGTTTGCGGACAATGTGAACGTCCTGTCACTGCTTGAGGGCCGTTTTGGCGTGCTGTCGTTGCTAAATGAAGAGTGCATGCGGCCTAAAGGCAGCGACGCTGCGTTTGCCAACAAGCTCAAGGCGCACTACAGCGACAACGATCGCTTTGAGTGCCCGCGTTTTGCACGTGATGCGTTTGTGATCAAGCACTACGCTGGGCCCGTGCAGTACGACACGAGTGGCTTCTTGATCAAGAACACTGATGCACTGCAGAACGATCTCATTCTGCTGATCCAGAAGTCCAAGGCGCCGTTCCTCAAGAAGCTGTTCCCCGACGAGCACCTGGGCGATGCTATGACGGGTTTGCCTGGCACGAATGCAGCTGCTGCAGCAAATGCATTGCGTGGACGTCCTGGCATCAAGCGCAAGAACTCGATCGTCGCTGACACGGTGGGCACGCAGTTCAAGAGCCAGCTGAACGGCCTCATGGAGGACATTCGTCGCACGAACGTGCACTACATTCGCTGCATCAAGCCGAACGGCAAAAAGAGCGCGCAGCTCTTCAACAAGCTGCGTGTGACGGAACAGCTGCAGTGTGCTGGTGTCGTAGAGGCCGTTCGCATCAGTAGAATGGCCTATCCCAACCGTGTGCTGCAGACGATGTTCCTTGAACGGTTTCGTGGCGTTGCGTCGACCGCAACAGTTGACGGCAAACCGTCTGCGCTCGCTGTGCTGACTGCTACTGTCGACGAAAGCCCCGCGGACGAGGCCAAGACGGCCGCTGCGGTGCGTGAGCTGCTCGTGAATCACCTGCTGCCGGGCAAAGAGAGCGAGTATCAGATTGGTAAGACGCGCGTGTTTTTCCGCCAAGGCGCTCTCGAGACGCTCGAAGAGCTGCGCACCCGCAAGTTCAATGCCGCGGCTGTGGTGCTGCAGCGGTATGCGAAGAAGTGGATGGCGATGGCGATGTTCCAGAAGGTGAAGGAAGCAGCCGTCGTAGCGCAAAAGGTGTACCGGGGCCACCGGGCCGCTGCTTTGTACAAGAAGCAGCGCAAAGCTTCCGTGACGGTGCAGAAGTGCGTGCGCAGACACCGCGCGCAGCAGCTTTTGGTCTGCATGCGCGAGAAGTATCGGGCTACGCAGATCCAAAACGTTTGCAAGATGTTTGTCGTCCGGCGCAAGTACCTTGTCAAGATCAAGGCCATCCGTACGATGCAGAGCGTTGTGCGCATGTACTTGGCTATCAAGGCGTGCTCGGTGCTGCAGAAGCAGGCAAAGGAAGACGCGAAGCTCGAGAATCAGATCCAGTTGCTGAAGAAGCGTTTGCAGCAGGAGCGTGAAGCGCGCATTGAGCTGGAACTGCAGGCGCAACATGGCAGTCGTGCTTCGGTGCACATGCGTAGCGAAGAGGCCCTCGAGGATGCGGACCTTGTGATTGACCAGCTGCGACGCGAGAACGCTGCGCTCAAGGAGGGCAACACGAACTTGAAGGCGTACGGCGTGCAGCTCCGCAAGGAGAAGGAAGTGATGGAGCGCGGGGCCTACGTGAACGGTGCATCGTTCGCAGCTGCCAACCAGCGTGCAATGAAGCTGCAGGACGAGAACGAAGCGCTGAAGAGCGAGCTTGCGCGGTACAAGACGGGTCATCGCAACCTGAAGGCGCAGCACGCTGGTGTGATGGAGAAGATTACGCTGATGCAGAGTTCGCTGAGCGAAGCGCTGGGCGAGCGCCAGGCACTGCGCCACACGGTGGACCACTTGAAGCAGCACACCGATCACTTGCAGGGCGAGAACATGGCGCTGGCTAAGGCCAACGCACGTCTTCGTTTGATCTTGCGCCAAGACCCGGAGCTGAGCCGGAAGCACCGCGAAGAGGTTCCGCGGTTGACGAAGCTGGCACTGTCTTCGAAGCAGTCCCAGCCCAAGGTGGCCGTGAACAAGATGACGACTGCCTTACCACCGTCCCAGGCCATTGAGCTCTCGGAGCCTGTTGCGGGCATGCGCATGTCGCTAGCAGCACCGCAGCCGCCGCCGCCTTCGCCTCCCGTAGGGTCTATCCCGGCTCCGAGCCAGTTGTCGGTGACTCCGATCAAGCGCGCGAACACATTGTCGACGAAGAAGCTGTCCCACGAGAGCTCCAAGTCGTCGCGCGTGGTGAACATTCGCGACACGTCTGCTGCTGGTCCAGAAGAGGAACCTGCGGTGGTGCTGTCGCCGACGGATGAGGTGCTTGGCGACCGTCTTTCGTTCGCTGAGGTCATTAAGGGCCGTGAGCGCCGGTCGTCGTCCATGTCGAGCACGGGGTCGTCTGGTGGCACCCCCGTTGCAACCGTTGTGGGGGCTACTGGTCCTCCCAAGAACACGGGGATCCGGCAGCCGACGGGTGAAGACGGACCCCTTGAGGCACCTGGGAAGGTCATGGGCATCGTCCTGGAAGGCGAGCCCGAAGACAGCAGCGATCGGGTGAGCTTCAGCGTGACGCTTGGACTGGACGTGCTTGAGGACAGCAAGCAGCCGCTCCAGCCTCAGCAGCAACAGCAGCAGCAGCGCATGTCGCTTCCTGGTCCCGCACGAGTAGCAAACGGCGCGGGCAAGTCAAAGGGCCGCTCTCGTCGCGGCTCGTACGACCGGGCCGAGGCGTTCAACAATAACAACAATGGTGAGGGCAGGCGGAGCGCTTCGACGCGCCAGTCGTTCACGGGCGGCCCTGAAGGCGGACGGTCGTCGTACGACCGCAACGAGTCGTACGGAGGGAACTCGTCGCTTCGACAGTCGCTTACGGGTGGCAGCCACCACAATAACACTGGCAATCGTGGCCGCTCTCGTCGCGGGTCATACGACCGCAATAGCGGCGGGTACAAGAGTCGGCAAACGAGCGATACGATGAGCAATGCGAGCAACGGCAGCAATGGCAATGGTGGCAAGCGCATTGAGCTCTGATCTGAGCTATGCGCTATGATGAAGAGAGATCAGTCCAGCGGCGGCGATGGTGCACAACGTTTTGCGATGGCAATGGCAGAGGGCTATGCACAGTACATGTTGCGTGGTGGATACGTTGGACGATGCGAAGCCGCAGTCAAGTAGGATGAACATAGCTATCGACATGACAAGAGGGACAATATCAGTAACACGAAATGCCAAATAATGCCTGACACTACTCTCACGTCATTGAGAGAGAGCATTGCTGACAGTGTACGAGAGAGAATCCATGTCAATGCGCTTATCGGTCTGCAATGAGTGGGGTATACATCGCCCTGCACCAGTGCATGCAAAAAGCAGAGGCAGGAGACCACGAAGTCGGAGGGCCAGTTTGCGGATCAACTTGACTTGCTCGACGCGAGTTCGCTCCACTTGGCACAAGCTGCTCTTCGTCCAGTCACGCGAATAGGTTGAGATGTATCCAGCGAACTGACGCACCCGAACATGTCGACACGCAGAGTATCCACAATGCACTTCTACCGGCGATACCTGTGGCGCTTGAAGTTGAAATACAGGTGCAGGATCCCGCGCTCGAACACGCTCTTGAAGCCGCGTTTGTGGGAGTATTCCCACTCGCAATTGACAATCTTGAACGCAATGTCCTGATACGGCGGTCCTGCCGAGAAGCGGATGATGCAAAACTCATCCGAGCTCGCCTTCTCCAGAACGAACCGTGGCGCCGTCTGTTTGTCAATGAGGTCGGGGTAAAAGAGGTTGAACTTGTAGCCCTGCACGACCTTGGGCGGCGGGTTGTCATGGTCGTAGTGCGTCTGATTGTACTTGTTCCACTCGTACCCCGTCTTGACGCGATTAAAGTAGCGCGGCTTGCGTGGCTGGTACTTTTCGCTCCACCGTGGGACCGCTTTCGCGTCGCTCAGTGCCACCTCTTCCGATGCACCAAGTCGCTCTTCAGCTTCGTCAAGGCCCTTCTGCGCAAACGACTGTTCCATCTCCCGTGCCGCACGCCCCGCATCGCGTCCATGTTCGTCCACGACCCCACACGTCTCGTCTTCCGCGGCCCGCGCCGCTGCTTCTTCTGCCGCGCGCTGTTCGTGTTCCTCCATGAGATCCGCTAATTTCGTCAGCATCGCTTCGTGCAGCTCTGCTAGTCGCGCTCGAGCTTGGCACACTGTGATCTGCTGCGCCACTTCCTCCCAAAAGTCCACATCCACACCCGTTGCGCCGTTCGACGCACTTGCAATCGTCTCACGCACGTCACGCTGCAACGTCTGCAGCTCAAGGGCACATTTGCCCCTCAACATGTCGTCAATGGTCTCCTGCACGGCGTCGTGGATCGCCCCTCGCTCCGCCCGCCTGTCGTCTCGTTGCAGCCGCCGAAGCCGATCGTCGCACACGAGCCGCATCAGCGTCCAAAACTCGGCATTCAGTCCGCCCGCGCCGCTCGCTTCGAGCTCCTTGTACGTGAGCACATCGTCCTGGAGCTCCTCGAGCTCTTTTTTCGACAATCCCTCGACAATTGCGTCCGGTCGTCGATGTTCCACGCGAATACGGCCCATTTCCGTCCGGAACAACGCACTGTCGTCGGCGACAGCGCTCTGCGCCGACACGAGCAGCAAATTCTTTGCCAATAAGTCCACTGGTTTCTCGCGGCGCGCGCAGATGCGCAAGTGGCTCCGCACTTTGGCCTGTTGCAAGTGGAACTGCTCTTCTTTCTGCTGCCAGTCCTCGTACTGCAGCGCGTCCTTCAGCCGCAGCTCTTCGCTCTGGAGCCGCTCGCGCTCGTCCTGTTCGGCTTCGCGGGCGTCGCGTCGCTGCCGCGCGCGGCGGATGTCGTCCACGCGCCGCCGCTGCGCGACAAGTGACTTGGCATTTGTATCGCTTATGGCGTCTGTGCCCTTTTTCGTCCATACAAACGGTCGACTCAACTGCGCGTCGCCAAATGGGTTCGTGTCGTCCGAATAGCCCAAACTCGCGAGCAGTTTGGCCGACTTCTTGCGCGCGCGGCGCTCGAGTCGCGCGTCGCACGCGCTGTCCGGCGTGCGGCTGCGGCTGTGCGTACTGTGGCGGCGGCGCTTCTGCGACGGATCGGCGGCGGCGGGCGCGCGCGGCGGGAGCTGCTCGAGTGGGTCATGGGGTGTGGAGCTGGTGGAAGTGCGGGGGGCCGTTGCGGCGACATTCGTGCGACGTTGAGGGACGGCGGCGGTGTCGCGGGTCGGGATTGGCTGAAATGAAAATGTAGACGACTGAGGGGCGTGAGGGGGTGTTTTAAACTGTTGCGCCATGAGGGGAATTGTGTGTGTGTGTGTGTGTGTGTGGTGTGCGGGAAGGACACTGTCGGACTTGCGGGTCGATTCGGTCGACGGCTTGCCGTGGTCGACCTTTAAAAGCGTCGAGTCTGCATACTACTCAAGATGGCTATTCTCACCCATTGCGCTAGATATTATGATGATCGTATGATGATGATCGTAGTGAGCTCAAGAGGCCCAAACGTTACAATACACGCCATCACTTGGTGGCGGCAATGACGCACATGGCTGATATCCTCGTACTCGTTCATGATCGATCCATCGTGTCTTCCACTTCACCCACTTGAACACCACGTGCTGCACGTCACGTCTGCGGGGAGGCAGCTGTCGACGGCAGCTTCTCGACCGGCGTCGGTGCTGGGGAGTTGGTAAAGTACGGATGCTGCAACGCCTCGGCCGCTGTGATCCGCTCGGCCGGATTGTACTTCAGCAACTTGCTCAGCAGATCCAGCACATCCTCCGACGCTGCAGAGAATATCGACGCCAGCGGTGGCGCTACGTTCGGTGTGAACTCGACAAAGTTGGCCAGCGAGCTGACATTCGGCCACTCGTCCTCGGTCGGTGTCCCCAGTGCATGGAAGATCTTCCCGAGCTGATCGAGCTCATTGATGCCCGTAAGGTACGGCGTCCGGAGCATCAGCTCGGCGAGAATGCACCCGGCGCCCCACATGTCAACCGAGCCACTGTATTCTCGCGCTCCAAAGAGCAGCTCGGGCGGACGGTACCAGATCGTGCACACCATGGACGTCATATTGCGATTCGGACTACCAAAGACCCGTGCGAGGCCAAAGTCTCCAATTTTAATGCGTCCGTCGGGTCCAATCAGCAGGTTCTCGGGCTTGAGATCGCGATGCAGCACATAGTGCTCGTGGCAGTAGGCGAGTCCCTGGAGCACCATCTGCATGTAGGCCTTGATGTCGGCCGCGGTCAACACGACGGCTTTGTCTTTGATGACATCGTCCAAATTGCTCGGCAAGAGCTCGTACACGACGTTCATTGTGTCGCTCGCAACAAATACATCCAACAGCTCCATCACGTTCTCGTGCTTGAGCTCGGCCTGGAGCTTCACCTCGCGCACGGCCGTGAAGTTCACGCCGTCTTTGAACTTGCCGCGCTTGAACTGCTTGATGGCGACATGTCGGCCCGTGCTTTTCTGCGTGGCAGCGTACACGATACCGAACGTACCTTCGCCCAAGACGTCGCCTCGGACGTAGCGCTCCATGGTGGACCCAGCGAGCGGGTGGGCGCGCGTTTAGTGACGTGTCAGTAATTGGTTCGGAGCACACGGGAGAGGGGTACGGTTGAAAAGCGACGAGGAACCAAATCAGGAACGCCTAGAAAAGCGTACCGGTGATTGGGTTGTTGGGGCTGTTTGGTTGGACAATGTACAAGTTGTGCTTTTGTGCTGCCTTTTTTTCGCACGAGCTCTCGAACTGCACGGAACAGATCTGTGTTTAATACAAAAGGACGGGACAGAAGGACACTATGGACACAGCAAAATGATCAGAATAAGGTCATCATTTTGCTGTCTTCAAAGAAATTCGTAGGCTGACGGATAGCTGTCAGTGATACCACTTGATTCGACTTCTGCTCTGACCTTCATCTGCGTATTCATCGATCTATTCGGGGCTATCGTCGATAGGTAGTCGTCACCATCAGCTCTGTCCCTCCACACTTCGTGTCCGATGTCAGATGTGACTCGCTTAGGCAGTTGATGGCCGAGTTTCTTGGTCCACGTTACAACTGATGACAGCGGCGATATTTTTTCCATCGAAAATGCTTTCTGGAATGAGCATTGGTCGCTTGACTGCGGTCACAAACGTTTCCTGCCATTCATTACCGTGCGCATTAGCTGCAGAGTGTGTTGTCGTCGAGCTGAGATGAGAGCAAATGGAGATCGAGTGAGTGTTTTACTTTGCACGCGACTAGCAGTGAGCAGTGTTCACATCACCTCACCCAAGAACCAGCCGGTCGTATATAGCATGTGGGTTTGTGTCCATTCCGTAATCACGAATAGTAGAAGACGGACCAACAGTCATGTAGCTGCAGCATCTGTAAGCAGTTGCGTAGTGCTACTAGCGGGGTCATACCTTCGTCATCCTGTCGGGAAACGCCGAATGCCTACAAAGGGTAAGCAAACCGAATGCATAGATCGTGAGAGCGTACCTTACCTTCAGCATGTCCATTTCCAACAGTATCGACATCTTACAGCTGAAACAGAAGCCCATCAGGAGCGATACCCACTTCCGAACGAAACCAGTGAGTGAACAGGATGAAACCAGAGCGCACTGTCAGAAAAAGCCGCGATTTTCTGCTTTTCTTCTTGGCAAACCCGAAACGGTCGTTGGTTAGCACTTTGTCGTTTGATGCTCCTTACAAATGTACAGATAAATTAACGGCTACGACTGTCCACATCCGAAAAAGATCCCCCCCGCACCTCCACATACATATACATAGATATGTATGTACGCCAACATCGCGTCCTTTGGATCCGACGACGACCTCCAGTCATTCATTTGCCAATTCGTCGACATCTCAAGAGTCGGTCGAAGAGAAAGGAACTGTAGCAAACACCGACATCGATCCCTGATACGTTTCTGTCGAATATGGAGCCCACCGTTTACGGAACAAGTTCATTGGCTTCGGACGAGCAATTGGCCAACCAGATGGCCACGAGACGCAGCACTTCTGCCAAGTGGGTAGTCGTCGGACTGGCAGCGTGCGGTGTCTGCAGTACGTTGGCGTTCATGGGAAGTGGTACCGGTTCACTTCCGTCCAATGTCGCAGCTGCAGTGCTTCGCTCAACGATTCAGAGCGCACCTCGTGGTGACGAGGGGGTCACAGCTTCTGAAGTGGGTACGGACGCTGTTGTGACGTGTTTCCAGAGTTCGTATGTTGACAATGTCACCCGTATGATGGAACCGATCACGGGGCTCACGTGGACGCGCAGTGGGCAGAAGAGCGCAACGTCGTTCATATCAGTGGATCTCGACGTCGAGTTCCAGGAGCTCATGGGCTTTGGTGGAGCGTTTACTGAGGCAGCGGCGCTGCAGTTTGAGCAACTTCCGCTCGAGAAACAAGAAGAGATCTTGACGCTGTACTTCGACCAGGAGAACGGCAGTGCGTACACGTTCGGCCGCGTTCCAATGGGATCGTGCGACTTTTCCGTCTCTTCGTACAACTTTGACGACGTGCTGAACGACGAGCAGCTGCTGCACTTTGACATGAATGTCACCCACGATCAGCACGTGTTGATTCCACTCATCAAGCGCGCACTAGCACGACAGCCAGATATGAAGCTGTTTTTAGCGCCGTGGAGTCCTCCTGCCTGGATGAAGCAGGGTGGTGACACGTACGTGCCCAGTATGCTCGGGTCCATGACCCCTGCAGGCTTGAAGGTCGACATGCGCGCAGCTTGGGCATTGTACTTTTCAAAGTTTATCAGCGCGTACAAGGAGCAGGGAATCCCCTTTTGGGGTCTCACGCCACAGAACGAGCCTGAGTTTGCAGCACCATGGGAGGCTTGCAAGTATAACGCATCGTACCAAGCTGATTTCATTGGTGACTTCCTTGGCCCCGTATTGAGCCGTGACCACCCGGAGATTACTCTGATGGTGTTTGACCACAACCGCGACACCATTCAGCATTGGGCCGAGACGATCTATAACCACCCCACCGCTTCAAAGTATGTGGAGGGAATAGCCTTCCATTGGTACGACGTGGAGCGCTCCATGGACGGAGTTGCTTACCACGAACACTTGATTGACACGCACTTTGTCGACGAGAATCGTTTCATGTTGGCTACAGAGAGTTGCAACTGCCCTGGTGTTGCTCATGGCGACGAAGCGTGGTTCCGTGCGCAGCGCTATGGCCACGACATCATGATGGACTTGAACAACCACGTCGCGGGTTGGGTGGACTGGAACTTGCTGCTCGACCATACAGGTGGACCGAACCACCTGGGCAACAACTGCGACGCTCCCATCATCTTGACTAAAGATGGTAAGGACTTCATTATCCAGCCCATGTACTACTTCATCCAGCACTTTTCCAAGTACATTCCGGTTGGCTCTCGCCGCGTCAAGACCGACGTGGCAGTCCACTTTACGAAGCCCGGTGATGCACAGCTCATGTGGGCCTACCCAGCTGCACTTGCGGCGTGCGACGGCAGTTCGCGTCAAACGATTCACAGGACTGACGATGGCAAGATGCAAGTGACTGGGTCCAACTTCTGTTTGGGAATGGTCGATGACGAGAAGCAAGGCAAAGAGATCCGAATGGTGGATTGCCGGTACACGCAGCAATCGTGGACGTTCGAAGAGGAAACGGGGCGCATCCGTGTGGACGATTTCTGCTTGTCTCTCAACCACAACTCTACCATGAACGGTGGGCGGATCACTGCAGGCCTTTGCAACGATCATGTGGACCCCCGCCAGCAATGGTTTTTCAATGACGAAGACGGTACCCTGCGCTCGTGGGCATCAACGACCGACCAGTGCGTGACAGGAGGGTACTCGTTCGTGCAAGCCACTGCATTTGTGACCCCTGAGGACCAGAAGGTGCTTGTCGTGATCAATGAAAACACAGAGTCGGCGGACTTTGCGATTCAAGTTGGTGACATGACGCTGGAGACAAGTATCCCAAAGAGCGCTATTCGCACCTACATCTGGATGTAAGATACAAGTTACAACAACACTTTGGAACTGTCCAGAAGACGTTGACGATGTTCGCGAGCTGACGGTCGTATGTCTATCGCCTGGTGACTACTGTCTTAACAATCAAAGACGTCGAGCGGTAGCATTTGGATTGAGGAAGATGAAAAGACTGGACGTAGATGCGAAGGTACAAGAAGGCGAGTTCAATGTTTAGTGGCTGAATAAAACGAGCGCAAACTTCCAGTCTACGACGACTTTGTCTTGTTGGATACAGGATCTCTTTGCTACGAAGTGACTATGGATATTGCCTTTTGATACAACAAGCCCACACTCGAACGATGATCTGACTAGTGCCTCTTCACGCGTTTGTAGCCATGTTGCTAGAATGATGAGGCACGTAGATTGACTGAGCAGGCTTTGTCATGCGTGCATCTTCTCTTCCACTCGGTCTACATTCAGCAGCCATTTGCTCGCAATCATAGTAGGCGTCTGATTCGGATCCTTTCGCATCATTCTAATCCACACTTCGATCGCTATCGAAAAAGGTCTCAGACTTTCTTTGCTCGAACGACACGCGCCGTGTAGGTATGTAGACCATCCCGTTGTATTGTCATCCACAGCCCCTTCCTTATACACGTTGTATACACTATGCTTTTTAGATGATACCGTAGCGTAGCCTACAACTGAGCAAGTAAAGTCTCAAACCTTTCACCGTGCAACTTTTTACCTCTGCAATTGGTTGTATTGCGTCATCAGTTGACAAACATCCGAGTTGCCTGTCGTGTTATCTCGATCATTTCGAAAGTACCCCTTGTACAGTAGTAGCCCATCGCCAACATTTGCACGACCGGTCCGCACCTTCGGGCTCCACGCCCATTGCAAATCACATAGTTGTACGACCAGCCTTTAACTTACTTCACAATCCAGCCGTGCACAATCGATCCACCCTCTCCAATCTTCCTATATCCACCAATCATCGCCTTCACTCACCTCCACTTTTCTGCTGACAATTAGCTCACCTACCCCCGATCCACATTACGATCTTCTCGTCGCTGTCCCTCCAGTCCTCACCCATTATTAGCCAATCACTGATCAGTTCCTGACTCGCATTGCACACGTCGGCCGCTGACCCCATGACGAGCGCCTCCTCGACGGCCTATGGCACGTCCTCCTTAGCGACCGACGAGCGCCTGAGCGCCCGCGCCGCCCGCCGCCGCGTCGTACTCAAGTGGACGCTCCTGTGCGTCAGCGTCTGCGGCCTCTGCGCCGTCGCCGCGCTCGTCGGCGTCTCGAGAGGCCCCACCACCGACGCGTCCGTTGCGTCCGTCCAGTCGACGCCGTCCCCCGCAGCGGCTCCTGCGGCTCGGGACGCCGCGTCGGACCTCTCGTGTGTCCAGAGCGCGTACGCAGACAACGCGACGGATATGATGGCGCCCGTTGTGGGGCTCAAGTGGACGCCGCACGGGCCGTCGACCGCTGCGTCGGTCGTGACAGTGGACGTGACGCGGCAGTTCCAGCGGATATTGGGCTTTGGCGGCGCGTTCACGGAGGCAGCGGCGCTGCAGTTCGACCGACTGTCGCCCGAGAAACAGGACGAGGTGCTGACGCTCTACTTTGACCCGGAGAGAGGCAGCGCCTACACGTTTGGCCGCGTGCCCATGGGCTCGTCCGACTTTTCGCGGGCGTCGTACACCTTTGACGACGTCGTGAACGACACGGAGCTCGTGCACTTTGACGAGAGCGTGACGCACGACCAGCACGTGCTGATCCCGTTCCTTCGGCGCGCGCTCGCGCGACAGCCAGCGCTCAAGCTGTTCCTCGCGCCCTGGAGCCCCCCGGCCTGGATGAAGCGCACGACGCTCGACTTCCCAGTGCCCAGCATGCTGGACTCGGCCAAGCCCATTGGCCTGAAAGACGACGCTCGAGCGACGTGGGCGCTGTACTTTTCCAAGTTCATCACGGCGTACAAGAGACACGGCATTGCGTTCTGGGGCCTCACGCCTCAGAACGAGCCACAGGCAGAGGTGCCGTGGGAGTCGTGCATGTACACGGCCGAGTACCAGGCCGAGTTCATTGGGAACTTCCTTGGACCGACGCTGAAGCGGGACCATCCCGGTCTGGTGCTCATGGTGTTTGACCACAATCGCGGCAGTGTCCATCAGTGGGCGACAGAGATATACAACCACCCTACTGCTGCTCAGTACGTGGATGGCATGGCGTTCCACTGGTACGACGAGCAGCGCTACATGGATGGCGTCGAGTACCACGAGCGTCTGAACGACACGCACTTTGTGGATGAAAACCGCTTCATGCTGGCGACAGAGAGCTGCAACTGTCCCGGTGTGGGGCACGGCGACCTCGCGTGGTTCCGTGCGCAGCGGTACGGACACGACATCATGACGGATCTGAACAACTACGTGGCTGGATGGGTCGACTGGAACTTGCTGCTCGATCACGAAGGGGGACCCAATCACTTGGCCAACATGTGCGATGCTCCTATCATTCTGACCGAGGATGGAACAGACTTCTACATCCAGCCCATGTACTACTTCATCCAGCACTTCTCCAAGTTTATTCCTGTGGGCTCACGCCGCGTTGAAACGCAAGTGGCAGCAAAGTTTGCGCGTCCGGGTGATCCGCAACTGTTCGTGGACTATCCGTCGATGCTGGCAGCTTGCGATGGCAGCTCGCGTCAACAGTTGCGGCCGACGGACGATGGCAAGCTGGAAGTGACTGGCACGGGCTTTTGCATCGATCTGAAGGAGATCCCGTGGCAGGGACATCAAGGACTGCTCGTGGAGTGCAGATACACGCAGCAGCATTGGACGTATGAAATGGACACCGGCCGCATTCGCATGGGCGATTACTGCATCTCACTGAACCACGGGTCCACGGAGAACGGCGTGCGCATCAGCACCGACTTGTGCGAACACGAGGTCGTGCCGCACCAGCAGTGGAGATTTGACGCGGAAGACGGCACCATGCGGTCCTTTGCGTCGACGACGGACTAGTGCGTGACTGCCGGGTATGCGTTTGTGCAGGCCGCTGCCTTTGTGACTCCGGAGAACCGGAAGGTGCTTGTCGTGATGAATGAGAACACGGAGCCGGTCGACTTTGAGCTGCAGGTTGGCGGCAAGGCGCTGGAGACGACGGTGCCTCGCGGAGCCATTCGGACGTTCGCGTGGGAGTGAGAGGACAGCGGTCGTAGCACAGACTTGCCACGCTGGTATAAGTGGTTGCGTCGCAGACACAGTCAGACGCAGAAGCTAACAACGTCAAGAACGCGGCAGTCGAGTTGCATGCACGCGTGTCAACAGTAACTTGTGCTGCCCCTTGCGTTGTGCTCTGAACTTCACGCCAGTGTGACCTCACACCAAAGGATGGATGTCGACGCCCTTGCGCTTTCGCAGGTCACCGAACGTGGAATAGGCCATACTAGAAAAATTGCAGCTCCAGCGTCTGAGGCCCATCGGCTTGTGACTGGACGAATCTCGAACAGTTCCATCTCTCGGGTCACCGACTTGCACTGGACAAGCAATAAACAGTGCCGTCTATCGGGTCACCGACTTGTCACTGGACAAGTCTCGACGCCATCTTGTGCTAGTGGGACCTCCTGTTACTTAGAATATACTCCGAGTGTAAGTAATAAACGAGCTTCCCACTCTGTCCAATTACACACTCCAAGTTTGGCTCACCCGTGAGACTTATTTAGCGCATTTATAACTAGAAAAAGGCTCTATTATACACTGTATTTACTTATTCCAAACAGTGTCATTGTGTCCGATAATGGATTTGTGTGGTCGTGTTTCCGAGAATGGATCTGCTTGTTGTTCTCAGCCGAACTAAATATTACTGAACCTTGCTTGTTGCATTCAATACATAATAAAAACGCATCGCATCTCAACCAGCAGTTTTATAAACAATGCATGCTGAGTTACCTTCGCGAAATTTGGCAAGTGTCGGAGCGTTGCTGAATTTTTCAAATTGATACTATGAACGGAAACGAATTTCGCGCTCATCATATCATATCTGTGCACAACTATATCCGACAACTTTACTGACCAATCAATTTAAACGGATTCTTAAAATTTTCATGCATAGTGCCTTTCTTCTGAGGTGACGCCAAAGCGCTGTGACATTCTTGTGGTCGTTTCTTTATATGCACAAGACTGCGAATTGTGTCGTTATGTATCCGGCCTACTCCAATTTATCATGACACATTCCTCTATTGACGTTTGGTTGATAGTTTACCACCACTGCTGAAGATATAGAGTGCAGAGAGCTGAACATCTGTGGATATTGGCGGTTGGAGCACCAATCGAGCAGGCTATTTGTGAGCGTGGCCAAACTAATGAAGGGATGCTGGCGATGCACATCATATGAATGTGCGTCTATCAATAATCACGGTCCTTCATGATTGGTGTTTTTAAACAGCTACCCATTCCGTCCATCTGTAAGAAGGTCACGCTCACAATTGATGCGGCTTTGACAACGATCGCTGGCACCAGAGTGAAAGGTGTAACATACTACTGTACATACGTCTTGCCATCGAAATTTTGCTTCTACAACCAGTGCTGTCATTCATGCACGTAGACGAGCCTTTAATCATCTCAGTAAATCTCGTTGTGTATTGCATCCATACCATTTATGTCTAAAGCTATTATTGCACCACAACCATTGAGTCACGTGGCCACGCGTTCAGCATGCCAACCTTCATAGTGTCGGACCTGCAAGATATCGCCAGTATACGAAATCGATTAGTATACGTCATCGATCAGTATACGGCCTCGATCAGTATACGCTCGTCTACGGCTTCGTTGTAAGAGTAACAACGTTTTGCTTGTTGCGTGCGCTCCATCGCGACGTCAAGTGGACCTAGCTTGGTGCACAAGGTCATCATATGTAGCTCTCCCTTACGAGTCATCAAATTTGAAGGTTGAATCTTGATGCATGTAGGGCTGCTTAAAATTTACCTGGCGATAGTCAATATCTTGCGAGTTAAATCTAAGAAGTTGCGATGT